ATCAGTCAAAAGGTGCAGTCTGCACGTTAGTGGGTACTTGGGACATAAGTCTCCACTCAGGTAATACTTAAATGCAATATTTAGATATTCATTAAATTCTAGTAATTTCTGCAAGAAGTTTTTATTTAGCACAAGACAGTACACTGCACAGGGGCTGGGAGTAATAACTCCAAGTCCAATAAAGAAAAGGCAGAGAAAACCACCAGTGAATAATAAAATAAGTGGTATAGAGTGCTCGTTCTGTGCGCTGCCTGTTTTTTATGCCTCCAAACTAGGGATTCCTTGAATCCTCCCTGGGAAATGAATAGAAATTCAAAGAATTAATCTGCAGCAGACATTTGGTTAGTCAAAAGGGTTTCTGTTTGCATCCATAGGTTAGCACTGACTGAAAATCTTAGTCTGACTTGAAGAAATGACATACAGGTATTTTCCAGTGCTGTATCTTGCCTGTTTCTGTGGTTTTCTAATAATATTTTTCTATTTTCTGCAAAGTTGTGGTCTCCCCTTTTGCTCTGATAGGGCCCCTACAGCAGAAGAAACGGTTAGCATAAGGAAACCTGTGAATCGAATCCATACAAGGTGCTGTCGTTAAACTAGCAACTGAGAGAAAATAGCTCATTTAACGTTTTTAGTGATAGTCATCTGAAGGTGCAACAATGATAACTTTTAAGAAGTCCTTCAGAAGTATTATATTTTAAATGATTATGGCCCTGTAGGGAAGTTTAAGCCAAAAAATACAGGAAAAGAGAGAGAGAGAAACAGAAACCACTTACATAACTCATAATTTCATTTATGCTTGGCTCTGCCTTTTCAAATGCCATTTTGAGGGCAGAAAAGCTCATCTTTAGTTGATATTGATTTTTGTATTTTCCTTTATTTTACAATTGTTGTGACAATAGCACAAGCTTTTTACTTAAAGGAAAACTCTTCTGAAGCTAACATCCGGGGTAGAACTTACACCGTTGGCTCCTTTTGCTTAGTATTCTGCAGGTGTGCATTGCTTCTCTTTTATTAACTTAAACAGGGCATCATGAAATAAAAAAACCCAAAGTCAGTAATATGACTGGGATCAGCCAAATGCCACTCTAAGCCATTCCACTGAACACAATCAAAAGATTTTTGTGGTTTCCTTTTTAGTGGAAGTTGTTGACTTTGTTACAGTATAGCTGTTATTGCCATTGCACCAATGACTATGTTTCCTTGATCATCTTGTCTCTCCTCTGTAACACATTGTGCATTGTTCTTGTTGACACACCACCTTAACTGTCACTCTGCCTGGGTGAATATTGTTTCATTAGTGTGTGATATGCAGAGTCAGCAAACCAGAAAAATAACTCCATTCCCTGCCCTTCCTTGGGAATACTTGTTCTTTAAATGCATCACCTGTGCCAAGACTGGTTTTTAAGAAGTCTTAATTTATTCCAGCCTGAACAAAGTCTGGTTTCTAATTTGGCATGTTTACTCTAGCCTTGAAATGTATGGAGCTAGTTAAATTTCTTACCTAAAGAATACGATCCCTCTTGTACTTTCTTTATATGTTGCAGGTTCCTTTCAGTACGCTGAAGGGCTGATTAAATTTTGAGCTGTCTTTTTTGCTGTAGAAACAGTAAATGTAGAGGTTTTCTTATTAGCTTCCCCTTTAACGAATGTGTGTTTTCTCTTGCTGACTCGCCAGCAGACTCAGTCTGCATATTTTCACAAAGAACACATGAAGAGGACTTTAGGGAAACCCACGTGTGCCCTTGAGGCTAGGGACTATGTTGTAAGTTTGTGTATGGTGTGACCTACCCATACCAGTTGCTGCACGGTCGCTAACCCCACTTACAACGCTGCAAGAGGGTGCTTCGGTGGAAATACACTTTGCAAAAGGTGTAGGGCAGCTGCCAGTTCAGGGAGAGGAGTGCTGTGACATACTGGCAGGACGCCTGTCAGTCATGGGAAAGCTGAAATTGGCTGGTCTCAGTGCAGGGAATTTAGACTATTGTGGAACCCACCTAAAATGAGTGTGCTACAATGAGGAAAGCAGGATAGAGTTCCTAAATTATTTTAGTGCTTTGCCATGTAGTAACCATAGGGGGGAGTAGATCTGCAGGCTCACCTTTGCTTCTGAGTTAAGTTATTGTGCACAAAAAGTGTGGGCAGAGGGTTCCACAACATTTGATCAAAATGATCTTTTTGGTTCTTTGTAAATACTGCCCTGGTCGTGGAGAATGGCAGCCCATCCATGCAAGTGTCACTGTGCTGTGGTACATGTAGTGCCTTTTACATAGAGCTGGAAATGAGGCTGCCATCCTCACTAAAGCTTCCCTGCTGCCCATGGGATCAAGAGCTGTGACTTCTAAACGTGATGCTGAGAGAAAGCAGAATGGGAGATGAGATTGTTCCAGGATCAGAGATAAAACAATTTATTCTTTGATACTGTAGAAGCCCAGTGGTTTATTTCAATCCCCAGTCTTTTTGTAAGTGAGGTTAGTGTCCGTGACTGTCCAATAACACATGGACTTGCTGGCTTTCATGCTCTCTCATGTGTTATTGAAGCTTGTGGCTCTTAGGCTCTTCATTGTTCCCCGCAAAGCTAAGTTAGATCAGTCTTAAACTGGCAGCTTGGGAAGGATTTGCTCCTTGCATTTTCTAGAAATGTAACTATTGAATCATTTAAAGAAAAGTTCAGTCTCCCAAGATGCGAGCAAATCTCCAGCTATGCAAACCGGACAGAATCGGTGAAAAAGTAGTCACCTAGTGGATGTGTTTAATACAGATTTTCTATTCAATCTGCTTTAGATGTACAGCAATTGAATCACTGCTGTATAATTATCAGTGCTTTCCAAAGACAGAAAGCTTTGAATATGCCTTTAATTTCAGCATTTCATTGTTTTCCGTCTGTTTACCATCCATTTGAATCTCTACCGCTTTGTTATTCATGCTGTATATAACAATGCCTGGTGACCTTTTTTGGGATGTTATTAATAAGTTTCTGGTTTTTGCAGTAATTAACAGCATAAGTATTCAACATGCGGTGTTTATAATTCCTTAACATTTGCTGAATTTACAGCAAAAGACTAGTTTTAATGCTGATAACTCTGGCTGTAGTTTAGATTTTAAAATGATTAGTGTTTAGAATGTTAGCGCATGTAGCATACATACATTTGTGCCTTATAGAGTGCTTTGTAGGTGAATATTTTTCCTGCACCATAAGTGTTGTCTGTATCTGCATATAAGGATTTTGACTCGTGCTGACCATGTCTATGCTAAAGTTCACAGGAATGCTAAAGCAGTTACCCAAAGGCTGCCTAGACTGAATTTTCTTTGTCAAGATATTTAGTCTGTTCCTCTTTCCATTTGAATAATAATTCCTCTTCCTTCAAAAAGGGATTGTTTCTGTTTGACCACTTCAAGGGCCTCCCCGCAGCGTGAGTTGAATCCTATAGTGCACTGTGGCTAGCAGCATATTTTTAGTTTTGGATTGATTTGAGTGCCAGGGGAAGAAGGTAGCCTGTTATATTGCTGCAGTATTGGGATTCAGAATGAATTCAGGTGGAATGCAACATCGTTTGTTTTTAGACCATATTTTTTGCTTCAGTGTTTCTCCTGTTTTTATTCTAAACTATAGTTAGATTCTGCCAATTGACCTTTCTATATACAAGGTTGTATTTTAGAGACTTAATAGAGATTACCTTTTAATCTCAAAAAGATCAGACCTGAGTTTCCAGTGTCCCACTATCTTTACATTAGAAAAAGCACTATTCTTTAATACTGGAGCTAAAACTAGAATATCTGGTAGCATGTTAAAGACCAGAACACAATATGCAGTACACTGCCTGCTTTTAATTGCATGTGATTTTTTTTTTAATGGAAAGATACCCAGAAATCTTAAAATACAGATTATCTCACAGTGTTAAAGATATTCCTCTTTTTTTGCATTCCACCAGGCTTTTTCTGCTTTGGAACAGAGAAAAGAGAAAATTTAAATACTGTTTTGGGACTAGTGTTTTGTTGCATTCAAGCCATTACACGCAGTGGGTAATTTAGGTGGGCAGCTGCCTGTGTGAATGTGTTAATTTGCCAGTTCCTGTGACCTTGCCGCTCTGTTGAAGAGGACTACATGCATAAGTGAAGCAAGGCAGGGGCAGACCACTCTTCTGATCTTCAAACAGATGCATCACACTTGTAGGGCCAGTAGTGTACAGAGTAACTGAATGATAGATAATGCACTGGCTGCTCACAAGAAGAGAGAGTAGCCTTTGGGAAACAAGATCAGATATCTCATTTAAAAATTTTGCATATCAACTATTAGAGTGGTCATGGAGATAAAAGTGAGACTCATACCTGGAAATAACTGGGTAAAAAGCAAGGGAGAGATTTTTTTTTTCTTTTGTCCTTTTTGCTTTGATCTTGTATGACTTCACAATTTCAGCAAGTGTGAGCACACTTGTATATGGATAGGAATCTGCAAAGAATGCCCCGGGTTCCACAGAACATGGCAGAGGTGGCTACCCAGAGGATACCTTCCTTTTGTAATTGAAGCATCAGCATGGTAGTAAGGGTTGGTGTGTCGTGTTTCACTTTAAAAAGTGGCCACATTTCAGCACATCGTCAGGGAGGAATGAGGTGACCCAATTAGTGATGTATGTAAAGCGCTCTGTTCTTTCCTGCATAGAGGGTTTACTTAATGCAAGGAGCTACTGCTGCCTTAGACACTGAAACTAAGCCAGCCCATGTCACATTTTCATTTGCAATGCCAAAGCAAACTTGAAGAGGTACAATGTGTTTTCTTTTTGTTTCCACTGATAAAAAGGCAGCTGAATGGTACCATTTGGCCCCATCTTGTGAACTTTTGCACAGATCTGTTACAAGTGTTACCCATTTCCACATACCAACAGTGAGGAGAATGCGTATCATTTTAAAAAAAAATATCAGTGGGACTAAAGAAGTTCCTCTTCTACTGATGCACTGTTCTTTTTTCTCTTTTTCTCCTGTGTTCCTTCAATTTTTACATGAAGCTTTCTCTCAAGCTGGTAAGCACAATTACAACATGCATGTCCTGTATTTTAATCACAAGTGTGTGTGTGCATGTGTGTGTGTGCGTGCGTGCGTGTGTTTTATGTGCACTATGCCACCTACCACATGACTCTGAAATTAATTGTTAATTTTTTTGTGTTTGCTTTGTTTGACATTTATCAGATAACTTTGAATACTCAGGTCTGGAGTCTAATCGAGGTGATCAGAATTCAATCTTTCTAATAAGCCGCTAATAAAAAAAATAACTCTATAGTTTAGTTTTATTTTAATTTTTTTTATAACCTAGGGCTATAAAAGTGTAGTAAAACCAACCCCAAGCAGTTCTACTGCTGCATGACAGATGCATTTAAAAATTAGAACAATTCAGAGAAGTCTGTGCTGTGCTTGTGCCTTTTCCTCTATAAAGGGCCAAAAGTCAAAGCTTTTTGTACAAATGCAACACTATTGCAAATTCTGTGTTTTCCATGTTCAGGTATTAATATTCATTGGGAGTCTACGTTTTACAGCCCTACATAGTTCTCCCGACTAACTAATAATGCTATTAATTAAAGTTAAATAAACCTTAAACAAAAAGGTTATTGTAAATTTACAAATGATCATGCATATATGAATCTTAAATCCCATCTTGGATTCAGCTGGAACAATACCTTGAAAAACGGTAAGAGAATACACCCCAGAGCTGGGAAGGGGAAAGGTGACAACACGTATGAGAACACGTTTCGTACTGTGGTATTGTACACTTAAGACAGCATACCATTTGGATAGAGTTATATGCAGCTCAGGATGTGCCTGATAACTTTTTCTGGCTCCCTTGCCAAACCTGGCCCCAGCCACAAGAAAAATTCTGTTAAAACTACTTTGCTGAGTGACTGCAGGCCAATGTGCCAGAGACACCAAGGGCTGGCTGAAGTTTTAGGAAACCTAAAGAATTTGTAGTAGCTCCGTGGGGATGTCTGTTTGGAAGCTTTCCTGCTGGTGGTCAGTGAGGGTCTCTGAGCTTATTTTGCTTCATTATTCTTGGAGCCCCTGTTCTTTACCAGTTCTCCCCTGACTCGGATGGATGTCATCTGTCAGCACGTAAGACTCAGTGACAGCTTCCTCTGAGAGGAACGCCTGTGCCCCACAGGCTATTTTGAGCATTTGTGATGCCTCTCCATGGAGATGCAAGTCCTTCTTCTGCAGTCATGTGGCCCAACAACCTGCTCAAGCAGCCTGAGTGGACATTACCTTTTCACACACAACCCAGATCTAAGCCTCAGACTCATGCTAAGCCTGAGGAGCAGTGGCACAGAAAACTCTAGGGTACTTGCAAAACCCAGCTGCTCTTGGCCATCTCCAAGCCAGAGGCCTGGCAGTCAGTAATACTTATGCAGAGTCCTTCCATTCATTCTAGTTGCTAGAATGCAGCCAATGCATCAGGTTCATGGAGCAGTGGATCCTCAGAGATGGTGGAGGTGAAGTGCTGCCCCCTGCACCAAGTTTCACAAACCTGTAGGACATAAGAAGCATGAGAGATGACAGCCATATTGGCAAGTGTGCTTGGCAGCATCTAGGGCTTCCCTCCCCTGGGCATGGGCTGCTCCAGCTGTTCCAGCAGCTAACCTTCTACACAAAAACGGTTTGTGTCAGGGGTGGGCAAAATGCAGCCCGCCAGGTCATTCTATCTGGCCTGTGGGGGCCCCTAAAATTTTAGAAAATTAGTATTTATCTGCCCTGGCTGCCTATCATGGAGCCCTCGATGGCTTGCCAAAACTCAGTAAGTGGCCCTCCGCCCAAAATAATTGTCCACCCCTGGTTCACATCCTCTCTGCACGTGAGGACACTCCAAAGGCTTATTCACCCAGAAGTTCGGTCCAGAGAGGAGCACCTTTTATATACTCTTTTATTCTAGGGCTATGGTTTACGTGTTATCTGCAGGCAGACAAATTGAGGCTGATAGGCCCAGCCCTTCACTATTTCCATGAATAATGCAGATAACAGTAGCACAGTTCCTCTGCTTTGTTGCAATAGCATCACCCCAGAAATACAGACAGTCTGCGTTAACTCAGACAGGTCTATGGTAGTGTAAAATGTACTCAGCATGTGCCAGGAGAGGCTTTTGATTGGACCTCTTTAGGGGCAGAAGCTGAATCCTCCTTTTGGAGGCATGGGGTGAACTTAGTAAGATTGTCTTTTGAGTCTCAGGCATGTGGTTCTATGCAGCGTTAATGCACTGGTCTGCAGTATTGTCTGCTTCGCTAGTGCGCACTATGCTGGTATCCCCACCACTTGTAGTGCAGGCCTAAGTTTCTGGATGACAGTGGTTTCAGAAGTTTAAAAAAGGATTTCTGGTCTGTCATTTGTTTTTGCAACTTTCAAATAAGAAGTTGCTGGGAGGAATCCGTGCCTGTATCATCTGGTGAACATGTAAAAGTGGACTGGTAGCTTTCCTGTAACTATGTATCCTTCCTGTCCACTAAACCACTTGCAGTCCTTCAGCCTGACCCCATGATATGTACCACTTAATGGCCTGTCCATAAAATATTGAAATTGCTGTGGCAGGGGGGAGATGCCCCATTATGGTGGGCCTCTACTCCCACACATGTGGTCTGTCTAACAAGTGGCACATTTTATAGATTAAAAAGATGGGAGGAAACTCCCGCAGGTGTGTCCTTTTGCATTTGTAAAACCTCCTGTGTATGTTTGTTTGAGAATTTGGACGTGGTTCTCTTAAACTGAAGTTGGTTAGTTAACGCTGAGATGTTTTCAGCATCACTTATCATAGCCTATGCTCTCATCTCTTCACCAGCAAAAGAAGAGACTGCATTAAAAAAGACAGTAAAGACCCAGGGACTCAGGGCAAAATTCTGTTGCCCTTTGTGTGTCTAAATGGCAGATGTCTAACTATCTGCCTGGCCATCTTTGGCCTCTGCTTTCTGCTTTGGATAAATAAGCCTGTGTGTATGGAGTTAACGTGCAGTAGGCCTTTGTGCTGGTTGCTTGTGTACAAGGCTTTGTACACACGTATATCCCAGATACACATGTAGCTGAGTATAAGACCTGGAGAAAAAGATGGTGGGTGCAGAGAAGTGGGTCTGTGGCTGTCTAGGTGAGTGCCCTGGCTGCTTAGCTATTTGGGAAGGGATCCCTTCCTCCTATTGAAACTAACACCTGCTACTTGTGGGTTTTGAGACTTAAACAGCTGTGTGTGTGTGGAGCCTATTGTACATGTTCAATCAATACATGTGTGCGTATCACTCCTGCCCATAATGGCATCATAATGGCTAAAAAGCTGCCATTTAAATACACCGAGGGAAATAGAGTTCTATCCTGACTGTACATATGTTCTATCTGCTGCATAAACCCATGCTGGTCAGGAAGGGGAATAGCATTTTAACAGTAGATATGGGTATTTTATTTTGAGCAGAATTGGGATCCGATATTCCTCTCTTCCTCTGGTTTAAATATGCAACTAGCAATGTTACTCTTGGTTTAAACTAGTATACATGAGAAGAGAACTGGATTCTGTGTAGTTGAAGGGCAGAGGACTCACGGTGCATTGATCCCATGTCACTGGAGAGCATGCTTATAAAGTGCATACTTATCAATGGCATATCCCAAAGGTAACATTTCTGTAGAGTGAGCGAGTGCCAGAGGGTCCTACTATTAGAGAGTGCTTCTGAGGAAGTAGGAAATGATTTACCCTCTCTTTCAAGGGTACTGCACCTGGGCCTGCATCTACAGTTTCTGTGCTGCCTGAGCAAGTTGTGTCCTGGTTTGTGTGGTGCAGGTCCATAATTTAAATTTGCACAGGAGAGATGCATTCCCAACATGGGAGTAAAAGCCAGTACATGCTTCCAGTAGGGATGACATCTGCAGCACAGCAGGGGAAAGCAGGAAAGATCAGGCTTCCCATGAGAGAGGAACTCTGCAAGATAAAATCAAGTGTGTCATATCAGGATGGCAACAGATTCTCCGCTTCAGCCTTGGGCTCTGACATTTTATAGCCAGCAATCTTTTGCTGTCCATTTCTTATGGCAATAGGACATTGCATTGAGATGGTTTTCAAGTATTCAGGATCTAAACTATTCAAAGCTTTAGAGGTGTAAAGATAAAGCATGACAGTGCTTCAAACCATGATGGTTTTGCACAGATTTTCCAGACGGCTGTTTTCAAACTGGAATTTTGAGGGATTTACTTGAATTTTTCAGGCTCTCACTCATCTTTGTTTTTCTCTCTTACCATGCAACATGCAGGGTGCAGGACCAGAGGACTTCAGCAACCTCCCACCTGAACAAAGAAGAAAGAAACTCCAGCAAAAGGTTGATGAACTAAACAGAGACATTCAGAAAGAGATGGATCAAAGGTAGGCTGAGCTACTGTATCAGGAGAACTTAAAGAAGACCTTTCTTGTAGGAGAATGGTAGAGTCTGAAATACAATAGAAAGTTGTTGCTTTTAAAAACAACAGAGGAACAAAGTTGTGACCTGTGAGTGAGCACCCATTGGAGGGGGTGCTGTAGGAATGGCTGAGATGACTAAAAGCATGCTGGGGGTGGATTCAAGTATCTAGGGCAGGGATGCTAGTTATATTATCATTCCACCCTCCCACCTTATAATGCCATCCACCATTGAAATACAGGGATATGAAGGCTCTAGTACAAGAACCTCAATAGTCAACAGAGGTAATGGTACTCCTAACCATTTTTCCTTTGTTCTGGCATTGATGTGCCAGGCCTTTGAAGGGGAACATATGTGCAGTTATTTGGGGCCAAGTAGGTGTCACAGAGTGTTTGGATTTACCTCTGGGTATGAATCAGCCCAACCTTTGCCGCTTTTTAATAAAAAGTTTGGTATTTTAATATAAGATCCCTCTGTGCTCAGCTCCCACCATGTCTTTCAGGACTACCAAGCCTATAGACTTTTCAGCAGTGAGGTAATGGCAATTTGTAAATATTTCAAAGCAACCTTGGACATGTTCTGTCTTCTGGGGGATCCTAATAACATGGACTTTTATCAGCAAGGCAATGTTTACCAAAGTACTTGGTTAATCACCCATTTTAGTTTTTAAAACACTGTGTTCTGCTTATATCTGTTTTCTGGAAGCAGAACACCTTAATGATTCTTGCACCTTTGTACATTTGTTTTTTAGGAGACTTAAGTTTTATCATCGTGATTGAGAAGCAAGCCTTTTAAGTGACTCAGCTTGTATGGGTTCTGGCTGTTTATATTTGCAGCTCCTGGTTCTCATTCTGTGATTGCTTTATAAAATAAATAAATAAATAAATGGTGCATCATACACTTGCAAGAGACAGGAGAGCTTAGCTATCATCTAATGATATTTCAAGGCTAGGACCTCAGTAATATTAGGAAGAGGTGAGGGCTTGCCTTTTTATCAAAGTCCTTTTTATGTTTGCCAAACAAAATTTAAGAAAGCATTTAATTTTGGTCTCAGTACCCACAAATCAAACAGCAGTTTTTTTGTTATAAGCAATGTGAGGATAATTCCCTATCAGCAATCAGAAAAAAAAAAAAGAAATGATGTAACTGTACCTACAGATAGTTACATTATTTGTTTTGCGTGTTGTCTTGATACTGTAGTATTTGTCCTTGCATAATTTCCCTTTCACCTCACATTTTAATTGATTTTTATTTGAATTAAATAACAGTTATCCATAAAATTAGAGCAGACTTGCATTAGGTCAGTATGGTATTTAAGAGATAAGACTGCTGAACGGAGCACTAACAGGAACAGTCAGAAAAGCAGAGTGAATAAGAATCCATGACTCATGTGTTTGTAATAATGTCCCTTAATGCTGCAGCCACACAAAAGTCTCTACTTCCTTGCCACCCACTCCTTTTCCTGGGTTCTCCCTACACAAAACAAAGTATGCACAGGGCTGCAATTGTCATGGGTTTTGTGGGAATCTCTCATATAAAGAGAACATTAACTCAGATCGTGGGACTCAAGTTAACCTTTTTACTCCAAGTAATGCCTGGAGAAATGCTGAATTGTCATGCCAGGAAGATGAGATGTCAGTTCGTTAAGTCACCCCATTTCCAAGCCAGAAAATGTTTTCTTGTCCTGCAGATAAAATCGCTTAACACTTGACCTCAACCTGCCTCATGTCAAGTTCAGTGCATTGCCATGAATGATGGCCCTGCAAGACATGCCTTCTGGCTGGGCACAGGAAAGCATGAAGCACAGTAATGTAGACCTGGAGGTACCAGCTTCCAAGATGGCAATTGGCATCTATCTTGAGCTGAAATATAGCCCCAAAGACTGTCTCAGAAATGCTGCATAACTTCACAGGAGGCAGCATCACTTCATGTGGCCTGACATCCATCTGTTGCTACACTGTGACAAATACAGACCATCTGGCTATAATTTCATTCTAAACAGCGTAAAATAAATATATGTTGGGGGTGATTTATGTTTCATATGCTTAAGGCAAGCAAAATGCAAGAGACAGGGCAAGAGTTTCTGGTTAGTGCTTCATTCTGTACCAAGATTTCCAAGCCTCTGGCCCACATTCTGAGCTGACGTTTAGTCCAGGATGGGGACACCATTTGGTAGGTGCAAAAAGCTGGGAAGATATTTCTCTGGAGAGTGCAGGTGTTGTTCTTCGGAGCAGCCCTGAGCTGTGGAGACCTCAGCCAGATCTTTTTTTACCAAGGTTAATTAAGTGGAAATCCCAATATTAAGTAATAGAAAACTTGTCTGAGTTGAAGCCAAACTCACACCTCGAATCTCTCCTCCCAAAGGCCAGTCATGCTGCCACCCAAGAATTCTACTCCAAGAATTTGGCCACTTTTCCTCTGGTTATAAAGGATGAGATTTTCAGAGTCACCTAGGGGATTTGGATACTAATCTTGCCCCATATTGTATAAGTTGTGGCCTTTCTTTGTCCACTCTTACCAATGATTTGCTTGTAGAACTGATTATACAACTGTTATGCATATGGAGTAGGGTCCTGTAAGGCACCTTTATGGTGCCGTCAGGGTGGCGAATATAGCTTACACACACAACACCCTGTCCCACTTCTTATCAATGTCTTACGGTGCAGTGACTGTGGGTAAAGACTGTCCAGGGGAGGCAGTGCCAGGTAATTCATGAACTCTATGTACAGACAACTTCAGTGCTATCAAGGGGAGCCCTCTAATTTGTAAGTGGGTTAGCCTGAACAGAACAAAGTCCTTGCATAGTGGTTACTACTCTACACTTGATACAGCTGGGAGTCTTGTCTCAGAGTAACCTGCTTTAAATTTTTGTCATCAGGTTCAAACAGAAGGGTGGCACCCAACTGCTGCCAAAATCACCCTTGTTGTTTTTGCCTCTTTTCCTTGCAGAGATGCCTTGACAAAAATGAAAGATGTCTATATCAAGAACCCACAGATGGGAGACCCAGGCAGTGTGGATCACAGATTAGCTGAACTGGGACAAAACATGGAAAAGTTACGATTAGAGGTCCAGAAATTTGAGGTATGGAAGGGTTTTGGGGGCTAATGCACTCCTGTGACGGAAGCCTCTAATTCAGTGATTCCCAAACTTTGCCTCAGTGTGACCCCATTTATGACCCCATTTCCTCAGCATGGTCCCTCATACTCAACTTGCAGCCTCCTACCCCCCCACAGGTGCCCAGGGCCAGGGACCGCAGCCCCCTG